CTGAGCGAGGTGGGGGGGATTGGCACAGCCTTCGGCGACGACCGTCTCCCCGAGCGGCCCAGCCCTATGGCTTTCGGTCAAAAGCAAAAGGCAGCACAGACATTTGTGTCACCCTCTTAAGCGCTCAGAGCTTTGGCTCGCGTTTCAGGCGCAAAGACTTTTCATCCGCCCCTTGGCAGGGTGGCCCAGGGACAGCAAGAGGGGAGCTCTGGACTCCCGGACTTCCCTAGCGACGGAGAACTTTATGGGTCTCTCTCTCCGTGTCTGTTTCTGTCATCTTCTTCTCTTATGTACACAGAAAGGCCGGGAGAGGAACTGGCTGGAGGTCACGGGGGTTCTGAGATGCCCAAGGCTCCCAGGAAGCGCTGTTCCCGCAGCTGTCCCCGCAGCCGCCCGGCAGCTGGTCCCTGCTGCTCCTGACGTCTTGCACGCTTTCACTTTCGCGTGCACACCGCTCGGTTTGCACACCGCTCGGTTTGCAGTCTAGAGAGCCTGGGAAGAGCTGCCTAGGAGGGGAAGAAGTAGAAGGCCAGCGGAGCGGAAGCACTGGGCGCAGCGGGAAAGCCCGCAGTGAGAGCGCCTGCGGGCAGGTCTGCTGGGAGCCGGACGCCCTAGATCTGCAGTCCAAAGCCTGTTCCGCTCCCACAAGGGCAAAGGGGGCGGGCAGGCCAGAGCTTGACAGTGTGTGCTCAGCAGGAGACCCTAAACCTCATCAGCCCACCAACTTCTACCCAGGGGCCCCAAAGGAGACGAAAGCGTTTCCCTGCCGGCTCCAAACTTCTCATGTACTGCCATTAGCAACTGTCAGCCTTCTTGGCTTGAGCTGAGCAGAAAATGCTTCGAATTTATCAGCTGCAGAGTTGTGCCTTGGGAAGCAGGGCGAGCTATTCCACCCTAATGGCCCTCTGCCTCTGAACTGACTCTTTTATAAGTCTTGTTCTATTTCAAGGAACAGAGCTGACTCTGACACCTAGGAACAAAGAAATTGCAGGATGGAGGCCCCTGATGTTTTGTCAGTTTCTTAGCACTCTCGAGTAAGGCTGGCAGGAACTGCTTCATCTACCAGGAACTGCTTCTGAGTTCATCTTAAAGATCCCCCAGCCTGGTCCTGGGATTCCTTCAAATGCCCAGGAGATCTCCCACATCTGGGAGTCCACAGCAGAGAAGGGTGGGCAGCCAGCAGTAGTTACTTTTGGTCTTAAAGGACTATCTTAGGGTTTTCAGATCCACTTATCCCTATGGGGCATTACTATATTCTCCCACTTCGCTGTAGTGTTTTAGAAAAATGAGAAGTAGTTCCTTCTGAGAAACAGATTGAGTACTATGTCTGAGAAGTAGTTATTCTCATTATAGTTCTGGACAACAAAGCAAGGAATATAAACTATCGTGACTACATTCAAAAGAGGGAGACTTTACATTTGCCGGGTTGCAGGTTTTATAAGATGTTTTGGAGACCAGTATGTTTCTCAAAGACGTCTGAGTCAAGTCAAAGAATTACCTGGACACCCCTTTAATAGGCTGTCATAGGAACCAGTTTTAAAAGGCTCTTTTTGCTTTTCCTGACTATTTTTAATTCTGGCTGTCCCCACACTCAGTGGGACAGTCCGTAAGAAGAATGAATTCTGGGCATCTTTCTTAGTCTGGTTTTTTTTTGTTGTTACTATAAGTGAATATCACAGATCAGATAATTTATAAAGAATAGAAGTTTATTCAGCTCACAGTTTTGAAGGCTGGGAGGTCCAAGGTTGAGGGACCACATCTGGTGAAGGCCTTCTTCCTGTTAGGGACTCTGCAGAGTTTTGAGCCTGTAGAGGGCATCATAAGGAGAAGAGGGCCACAAACTTGCTAAAGAGTTCACTTTGTGACAAAGCCAATGCCTCAATAAACTGTTGATCCATTAGTCCGTGAGTGGGTCAACCTTGACTGATAAGGACAGAGCACTTATGATGAAGTCTCCTCTAAAATGTCTCATCTTCAAACAGCATTAACATATGACTTTAGAAATTGCTTCCAATGCCTTAATCCTGAAGGACATTCAAACTATAACAGGATCCCAGGTCCACCTGGGACAGTGCCTTGTACAGAACAGCAGACTTAGTCCCTGAGTCCTCATGGCTTGCTCTGTCTCCTGCTGACACTCTGTTCTCCCCGAAAGACATGGCACCTCCTCAGTCTGACCCTCTGTGCTTTTCTTCAAAGTTACACTGTTGAAGCTACTCCAATAACATCCCTGCCCCACTGGCTGGCTTCTGAGACAGGTGCTCCTAGAAGGCCTCATCTGTCTGTAAACCCCCAAAGGGGGTCTGATACATGCTTCCCTTCTAGCTGCCTATAGCGAAATAGACAACAGGTTCCTGAGAGGCCTCAGGTTGTAGACAATTATTGCTGCAATTAAATGCAGAAGAATCTGTTTCTTTTAAGAAAGCAATTAGGATTCAAAATCACCTATATGTAATGGTCTATAGAATGGCCTGTAATTTGGACTTGATTATGTTCAATCATAAATAGACTTCCCTCCTCTTTTCACTCCCCGCCCCCCGTTTAGTCAAATGTGCTTTCCAAAAGGCAAAGTTTTTTTATTGCTTTTCTACAACTAAGGATTAAAAAGGTCCAGTCTCTCATCTACCTTCCTTCCTTCCCATAGTGTCTTGCCACCCCACCTGCCAATCTGAAGCAGAACGGACAAAATTTCAACCACCAAAATTCTCCTATTAAATGTGAAGTGGTACAATTTCTATGGAGAAGAGTGTGGTGGATTTTCAAAATGTTGAACATAGAATTAATACATGTCCCTGCAGTTCCACTCCAATGAATTGAAAATAGATATTCCGATACCTGTACACCAACATTCACAGTAGCACTCTTCACAACAGCCAAAAGGGAGAAAAAAACCTAGATGTCTACTGGGGGAACAATGGACAAATGAATGACAGTAAATTCACACAGTGGAATATTATTCAGTCATAGAAAGGAATGAAGTCCTGATACAAGCTACAATGTGGATAAACCTACAGAACATTATGAAGAGTGAAAGAAACTCAAATATAAAAGGCCATAGATTGTTTGATTCCATTTATATGAAATATCCAGAGAATGTAAATCCATAGAGGCAGGAGATTAATAATAGGGAGTGAGAGGAATGGAGATGAATTGTTTAATGGATCTGGGGTCTCCTTCAGAAGTGATGAACATATTTTGGAACTAGATAAAAGTGATGGCTGTGAGCACATTAAAGGCTACTGAACTGCTCACATTAAAATGGTTAGTTTTATATTTCGTGAATTTCATGTCAGCTAAAACAGTTCTCTGCATCCTTTAAGATCAGTTTGCTGAGGACTTTGTTACTGTACTGGTCATGTTTTGGTAGATGATGACTGGATGTAGAAGAATTAGGATTATGAAAATGACAAATATCTAGTTTTTTTCTAACTAGTTAACCACAGTGATGATATTGGTAATGACAACCTATGAAGACAGAAATGATGACCATAATTAGGAGAATAGGGGAAACAGACTTAAAGAGTCCCATAAACCAGGACAACACAATATCCACAGATTACCTAGAGCAGGGCCATATTCCTCATCAACCAACCTTGACTCACTTGACCCCACTGTGTATTCAGCTTTACCCAGAGTTGGGGCTGCAAAGCTATGGATTCAGGATCTATGTCCAGGTTTGTTCAGCAGCAGAGCCAACAATAATTCAACCACACAGCCTCTCTGAAATGACATCAGGCAATTACAATTACAGTCTAGGATCATAGACTTTCTCCCCAGACTTACAGATAATGAGAATATTAGCTTATAAGTGAGTACCTATATCATGTTCTATGTGATTTACATGTATTTGAAAAATTATGTGTATTTATGTGGTTTGCATGTATACAGCTGTTAATTCTTACCACATCCTGTGAACCAACCATTGATTTTCCCATTTTAGACATGAAGAAACTGAGAAAAAAGAGATTACTACTGCATCCAAAATTCCACAGCTTCCCAGGCAGTGGAGTCTGCATTAACGCCCAGAGAGAAGCTACAAGGGCTGGAAAAGGGCTTGCTGGGCGAGGACCTGAAGGATTCTTCCTGGCTCTTCCCCTCCCTTATGGAATTCCAGCAAGCTTTCCTTTTGTTCTTCCAGGGGGATCACGTCCTCCAACATCTGGTCCTGCTGCCTTTGGCACCAAAGCTCTATACATACCCTGGAGCAGAGACTTACTGAGTTTCCTTAACAATATTTTCTGCTGTTTCCTACATCAGGATATAAATACAACAAAACAATAGCTCGTCTTTCCTTTGCTTTTGCTATTGTTTGTGAGATGGGCTCTGGGTGAAAAGACATTCATCGAGGTAATATACAAACAACTTTGGCTCTGAAATGAAAGGTTTTTCTTTACTTTGCTGCTGCAAGAAGTACAAAAGAGATTTGTTCTTTTTCTCACACAGTGTGTGAGGGAGACTGGTTCATGGTTTTACTGGTTAGCTCACTGAAGACCAGGAGACTCATGTTGGAGTATTATTTTCTCTTCCTCTCACCTCATTCCCCAGAAAATCTAGCAACACCATATCATAAAGCCACAGACCTCTCCAGCTAGGGAATTGTGGGTATGGGCGCCATGAATTAGAAAGAGGCTACTACTACTGAGACTACTGAGAGTGTCTGGATGTAACTTCAGTGATGTTTACTCTAATATTTTCTCCTCCCCATTTCACAGATGAGAAAATTGCGTTCCAAGTGACAAAGAGATGGTCACATTCCTAGCTTATACTTT